AATAAAATTACATCATATCCACCACGTCCCTTATTTCAAGATGCTTTTTATTATGTTTAAATCCGAGCTTCTATTATAGCATTACTGAATCCTTTAGTTGCACATCCTTTACAATTATTCTGGTTTATCCTTATATTTTTATCGGTATAAACAAATAAATTATTTTGCTTTCCACCAATATTTCTTAAAAAAAGATGTTATTAGCACAGGGATAATCATTGGAATTCCAGCGTTCCAGTTATTTGTGGAATAGTATACTAAATACCGAACATTTATCCTATTACTATTATTATTATTACTATTTACAATTAATTACAAATTCCGCAAGTGGCACATATTATACGTTGGTTTAGAGTTCCTTCTTTGGGATCTGTTATTTGATTTAATTGTTTGAAGGTGGTACAACATGATCTAAAAAAATTTAATTCGTAATCCTGTTTAATCTCTAACCAATTCTAAAAAGAGTTGAAAGAAATAAGCCAAGAAAAAGATTTATACGGGAGCATTGTTTATTTTATTACTGTTATTATAAAATATAATGTGTAGCGATGGGAATTTTTAACCCTGCATTTAATAACTTCAAGTTATTATTATCAACTATTGCATCCAAAAAGATCCATTTCGCCAATCAATCCCTATTAGTATAAGATATAGCATGTAAAATTTGCGTGTTAACCATATTTGGTTAGCACATACACTCTGCACACTGATCTTTTGGATTAGTTAATAAGTAGCCAGCCAATCACTATTCGTTACTAATTAGTATTAGTGAATTGCGTTTCGGGGTTTTTGATAGAGCGCGGGACGTTACACGTTAATATTAAAAATATCATTATCGACTTATAGTGGTGATCTACACAACACTTTTAAGTCGGGCGGGGGTCTTTTTTTGGTTTATATTATATTATAATGATAATTATGGAGGATTTACTGTGGATGATTTTGAGGAATATATTGCTTGCTGGTTGTAAGCACAGTTACGTCGTATTAGTCGCGGCCGGTTTTTGATTGTGGCAAGTATTCTTTATAATTTTGAACCCCTTTTTTTCTCAAAATAAAAATAAAAAAAAAAATTTATTTATATCATGATTTACCGACAAACAAGGATTTGTTATCCTGTAAAAAAGCAGCTAAAAATCAGGCCAGAGAAAATCACCTTTTTTATTTTTATCAATGATTGTTACGAAAAATAATAGCCTGATTGATTATCAACCAATAATATCAGTTTGATTTTTAATATTTTATTAGAATGATTGGTTTTCTTGGACGAAAAAAATGATTGGAAAAAATTCTTTGATTAACAATAATTCAAATACTTCAAATATTAGTAATGATAACGATAATTCGTTTAGTTCACCCGAAGATTTATCATTAACAAAACCTTCCAAATCTCCAAACAACATTTCTTTATTATTAAATTTACCACCACCACCGTTAATAGCAAACGATTTCGTTTATGACGGCAAACATTTACCTGAAGGTTCTTTTTCGCCAATTCCTCTTCCTCTTCCTTTAACCTTTAATAATAATAACAATAAAAATACGATGTCCGGTTTTAGTTTTTCATCTTATTATACTCCAACTTATAATGAACCTTTGAAAAAGAAAAGAAAAGGACCTGGTTATGTTGTTAGAAAATCCAAAAAGTCGTTCAAATCTGGTTTAAAAAATTATATTGATGACGACGACGATGACGACGATAAAATAATTGTTCCTTCGATGAATAAAGATTATTGTGAAGAAGAATATGGTGAAGAAGGATATGGTGACGGTGCGTTAATGCTTGGCGAAATAAAACGCACTTATACAAATTATTAAAAAAAAAATTTTATATTTATTTATTTTATTTATTTTATTGATTTAGACTTTTCGAATAAATTAAATTTGCCCAATACTACTACTACTATTAGTACATCATTAGTAACGGATCAACAAACCAATAACTCCAAAAAGAAAGTCGCCCATAATGTAATTGAAAGACGTTATAGAGATAATATTAATAATCGTATCAACGATCTTAAAAATGTTGTTCCTGCTCTTTGTCATGTAAAAGGTGGTAGTAAAGATGACAATGATGGTGACGATGAATATGAGAGTAATAACGATGAAAAGGTGGTGGATGGTATTAGAGTACCCCAAAAATTAAAAAAAGCTACAATTCTAGAAAAATCCACAGAATATATTCTTTACTTGAAAAATAACAATGATAAACTTAAAGAGGAAAATGATGAATTAATAAAAATAATTGCAAGTTTACCAGGAGGATTTGATTTATATCATGAATATTATTGTCAAAATCAGCGTCAACAATTAATTTCTTCTGCTTTATCACCTTTTATGCAACCTGTGTACACTCCTCTTGACGCTTCCCCACAACACACCAATAGCCCTGCTAGTTATTCTTCTTGTGACGATATCATATCCTCCTCAAACAACAATAGTAATGGATCTAGGGTGTTTATGGCTTTATTTATGTACATGACATTCTTCTC